ATAATAAGTACCATCTAATTTTCTCTTTAAAATCCATTTATTCTTCAAAGCCCTAGATCATCATCAAGGGACCACATTTTTCAACTGAGGAATTACAGAGGAGGAAAATTAGATTTTATTAAATATTCTGATTGTGGTGAGCAAACTCGTTGCAAATGGCTCTTGGAATAGGTTTGATGAGAAAGTAAGGTCAATATTTGTATCCTTACAGTCAACATTGTGAAATATTTTGACTACTTTTGTACCTTTATAGTATTTAATCAATATCCTTAAATTCAGTTGTTGCCTAGATCAAGTTATCACTGTTTAGTTATCTAATATTTCAAATCTGTTAGACTTTTAACATGCCAGCAGGTTTAACATTTTCCTTATAGCTTATAACCTTATAACAGCCACATGAAAAGTAACTTGTATATTAACCCAGAGTTAATTATGCAAATATCAATCTGTCACTTGTAAAACAGAAATTATAAATTGTAGCATTCTCAAAATCAGGCTGGTAATAAGGCTTCAGCATCTTAATAAGATGAATATGAGTGTTTAGTTAAATAACTCTGTCAGGAATGCCTTTAAGAGAAGATATTGCATTTAGCATAATTTGGAAGATACTTCATTTAAGTATGTTAAAATAAATTAAATCTACAATATTAATTTTCACAATGGAACCATTTCTTCAAATGGAGTTTCAAGTAGGAAGCCCATGGTGCGAACTGAGTGGCATTATGGGTATTTCTTGGTGCACGTTATATAGCAGTAAACAAGGTAATGCCAAACACAGAGCAGTATTGACTTGTGCATTATTTTTATGGTCTGTGTCACTACTGGTTTCCTTCGCCTTTCTGTAGGTTTTAAAAAGTTTTAAATAACAACTTAGAAATTTACCAACAATAATTTTTAAAGTGCTGTTTTTATATTCCGATATAAAATCAATGGAATGATACAAAGGGATATAAAGTGTTATACATAAATTAAAATTTGACTTGATGGCAAGCTTTCCCATATTTGCACTAAGATTAACACAAGTTAGATGTTTGACATATTTAAATTTCAACATTAAACTTTTATAATATTAAACTGTAGTGTGAAAATAAATTTAAATTAATAAAGCAATTAATTTTTTAATCATCTTGAACTTGGTCAATTTATTGATGTGATTATATTATTACTTTCTAAATAATGTTACTACATTATTATTATAATGTTACTACATGAAAATGGGGTTAATGATGAATTTTAAATGATAGCTACAGAGAGCATTAGAGATTTAGGATATCATTACAAGTGATCAAAATACACCATCCCAAGAACTCATCTCTGGAATCCCCATGCCTGGGTGTGACATGGCACATGGTCAAGAAGTGGCACCTGTGGCTGTAACGGAGGTTAAGAAACTAGCACTCCTGAAAAATAATGTTTGCAGCAAGTGAACTAGAAAAAGTAAAGGGCCCAATCACAGAGACCTGAGCACGCATCTCATTCTCGGTTCCAGGTTGAGTGGACAGGAGTGAAAAAAGAAAGAAAACAAACAAACAGACCAACAAACCAAAAGTATTTCCTACAAGTTCCTAACCATGTACTCAGATATGTAAGTTTGGTCATCAAACCAAAAACCTTCTGTGAAGTGATGCACTTTAAATCAGATGTCAAAGACTTCCCATATATAAAGTCCCATGGAACAAAAACCCACAATAAAACATTTTAAGACAATAAAAAGGAGAAACAAACAAAAACTTCTTCGATTAAAAAAAACCCCAACTTTACCATGTATCTCCCTACAAGTATTGCCTTATCAATTCCTCTTCTCCTTTTCACAGTCAAACGTATTTGAATTATTACCTATACTTAGTATATTCCCTTCTCCCCCCTTTTTTCATTCTCTCTTCCATCTACTCTGGTCTGGCTTAGTCCCCCATGTTGTTACTGAATCATCTCTTGCTAAGTGACCAATGACTTCCATTTTGCCCAGTCACAGGGACTTTTCCGGACCTCACCTCCTTTACCTTCGCAGCACCGTTTGCCATGGCTCATCACCCCTTTCTTTGGATTGCATTATCCTTCCTCAGCTTCTTTGATAAGCATACTCTCTTGTTTTCTTCAATTTATCTATCTTTTTAACGGGCTCATCCTCCTCCAAACGGTCACGAAGTGTGAGCATTCTTCAAAAATTCTAGCTCTCCTCTCTCCTTAGTCTGTATGTTTACGCTTGACTATTTCATTCTCTTTCATGGTTTCAATGAATATTATTTATAATTCCAATGTTCCAAATTTTACTTATGAACCACATGTACTCTGGTCCAGACTGTTGTTCCAAGCAACAGATTTGAATATTCAGCTGTCTCTCTGATCTCTCTACTCATATAAATTAAAGTCATCTCATGCTCAGGCCTCTCCAGTTCCCACTGATAGGTAAACCTAGCTCCCAACAACAACAACAACAACAACAACAACAACAACGTAAATTGAGGCCTGTAAATTAAGTCAAATTAAGAGTTAAATTGCAGAGAAGTGAAGATAACATGTTCCACGATCTTTGTCAGATGAAGAATTGAACTCTCGTTATGCTGGGTTAGCAGCAATGCCGAGAAGATTAGCCTATGTTGAATTTTTAGAGTCAAACGTCACGCAAAACTCTTCATAAAGTTCAGGAATCACATTGGGTATCAAGACTTTGAGAAGGAAAACTTTATGGGCAAGCTACAAAACTCCTCGCTGTCAAACGAAGAGCCTGCCCTGCATCGAGAGCGAGAGTCCTGCCGCGGGGTCTGTCAAATTTGCAGACCGCAGAGGGAAACATTTGCCATGGTCTCCTTAGAGCTGAACAGTTAGTAATAAACGGATACAGAGGTGCCTCAATCTCAGATTTTACTGCAGTTACAAAATAAATTTTTTAAAATGGCTTACTGTACCATATAAAAATGCATTCCCTTCTGTTTGCTCATAACTCAAATGTAGTATTTTAGACTCAAATGCAAATTGAGCCCTGTTAATGCTTATGGTCTGATGTAATCTACTGAAAATCTTGGACACATCATTGCACATAGTAATTCCATCCATAAGTTAAAATTCAAACCAGAAACTCTCGAAGTCACTTTTAAAACTATAACTGAAAATTATTACACAATGTAATAAATCTATCAGAAGTAAGACAGTGATTAAAAAGCAAAGGTTGTGTAAACATATACATCTCAACCTTACACACTTAAAATATTTTATAGGAGGTTAGATATTATTTCAATAAACAATATAATAGCATTTGGCTCTGTCCGATTTTCTGATGTGCATAATGAACTAGAGCAGATATAAATATTATATGCAAATACAAATGCACCTATAGATATATGATATAAATTATATAAGCTCATGCTTTTCTGGAAGCCTACTGACCTCAAGAATAATAAAAGGGAGAAAACGGAAGGATTTCAGTCCTTGATATATTGTGAGGAAAAAAAAAGAAAAAGAGCCTTTTAACTGAAGATTTGATTATTGCAGGCCATCCTCATAAGCAAAATATTTTCCCTCAATTACACCTAATTATTTAATTGTTTACATTTACTAATGAAATGAAACACCGCAAAACAAACAACTGCAAGGGGATGTTTTTCAGCAAGTGCGCAATCATCAATCAACACGTATAGAAGGATTCTAAAAATTATATGAAGCTGGTCTGTTGAAATTGAAAGGCATATTTTATCCCAATCAACGCATGAAAGTAAAATCACCCCTAACTGAGGCATGCTTCTCTGCCGTGCGATTTAGCCCTAACGATCCCCGCACGCCGCACAGGCACATCAATTATGACCATCTTAATCACGGTCGTTCAGCTGAGTGTTCATTATGACCAGGATCCTGGTGACAGCAGATTCAATCGCCGGTGCAATGGGCGAACCGTCGCAGTCCCACCCAAGTTTCTGCGCACAGCGATGCGCCACATTGAGCCCCTGATCTGTCCCACGTCCCACTCCATTCCAAAAGCCGCAGACGGCAAAGGTCAACTTTACGTTCTATGCGATATGCTTAGGTTCTTTCAGTTAATTCTTTGGCGTACTAGATCTTGTTACGCTGTATAGCTTCCCAAATATTGTTTTGGACAAAAATGCACATGGAAAAAAAAAAAAAGGCTGTTCTATTGGTGTAACTCACTTATAATAAGGCAGGTGAGGAGAGGTCTTGTTAACATGAACTGTCTTAGTAGCCTCTTCTTGAATTTTGCAAACAGGGGAAAACATAAATTGTCCCATTAAAGTCAGTTGTCTAAAGTGAATATGAAAACTAATTCCAATTAAGATAAAAGGCTTAGACCATCATTTCTGCTTTGGTTAATGTGGACATAGGTAAACGTTTTGGCAACCAAAAGAATGTTTTTAACATACTGAATTTTTAATTGTCTAACTCTAGCCGAATCAATTAAGTTAAGAGTGACTAGTATATTCCCCTTACTAAGTTTCATTTCTACTTTAAACACTGAAATCAGCACATGAGGAATTTATAAATACGAAGTAAATCCCTGCACTTAAGACGTTTTACCATTTAACACCAAGCTAGAATCAAAACAATTTAACTTGGGCATTTCATAAATAGAACAAAGGAATATGAGTAAGTTATATAATAGTCACATTATTTTATTAGTGAATTCTATACTCTCAAGAGAAATGATATGTTATTTTTTTGTTATGATTTTTATACTTCCAGCAGAAAATATTATTTGCTCTCAACTTGCTGACATTGTGATCTTTGTATAGTGTTCTTCATATTAATAGCATTAAAAATAAAGCAAAAATATTTTAAAATATTTGATATATTAATCAATTTTACGTAAGATTAGAGAAAGATTAATCTCTTACCAACATAGGTCAGCAGCACCATCTTTACATAAAATGGCTGAAAACAATTTTGTAACCATGAAGGTATTGATTATAATGAGAACATTTATATTTGCTATAATCGGTGTCTAATTTTAGCTTTTTAAAAGGGAGACCATTTTTTAATGTTGATTAGCTCACCTTGTTGGAGACCCACTTCTTAGGATTTTCATCTCTGAAATGTTGACATCCGTAAGCATCAGAGCCATACTTGCTTGATAAATGCATCGACGGAACATACTTTTTATTCTTATGGTAGGAGGAGAAGGGCAAAAACCTGGAAGGACATCAAGGTGATATTCTTTGATTTCTGGAGATATTTGATGAAAAAAATAAAGCTTTAGAGAAGTAGTCAAGTATAGTGGAAATAACATGCGGCTTTGGGTCGGAGGACCTGCGTCACATGCCAGCCTCTGTCACTGACTGTCGCTGTTACCAACTTCTGTGGACCCTCCTTTCTTATTCTGCAAGTGGTGACCCTAAAACTCATCAAAGAATCCTTGAGTCTCAAGTATTTTGTAAATGCAGAAACAGTTCAATAATAAATTCATTAATTAATGATACCAAATCAGTCAAATTCATCATGCAAGCACAAACGTTCCTGAATTTAAAATGGTATGCCAAATGGCAAAAAATACAATAAAAATATAAACTATTAAAAAATAATAAAATGGTATCCTGAGATGAAAAGGACGGCCAGGACAGGCGATTCTCATCCGAACGGGTTGTCCTCACATCTTACTGTCGTCCAGTGATGGGGGCGCTTTGGGGAGCGGTTATGCACAGCGGGCTTTCGCGTGAGCCAGGCCCGCCCTGGCCCGCCCTGACCTCTCGGCTTTGCCCGCGGGCTGTGTGCCCTCGGGCCAGATACTTGATCTCTTTGAGACCCTACTCCCACATGGAGCGGTGCTAAGGCATGACCAGCTTCATATTAGTAAAGGTGAACATGGAGGACAGAGAGGCCCAGGGCCCAGGAAGTAGCAGGGGCGCTAAAAGTGGGTGCTGAAGCAGAAGGGGCTTGTTGGGGAAGTGCTCATCGTGCTGTCATCGCACTTTTAAGCATTAACTCTGACCAACGTAAGAGCTCAAACTGGTAAGGTCCATATAAGCTCTCACAGAGCATCTGACATTGTGATCTGCTTTGGGTGTAACCTGGCCAGTGGCGTAGGTCCCTCAGCAAAACCCCCTGCAATGTCCTTGTCCTCTGGCAGGTCTGTGTGCCTCTGAGCCAGCTCAGGGCAGCGTCTCTGGACTGCTCTCCATCCCCAGTGACCCCCATCCCTTCACGGTGGACATGGCTGCTCAGGGGGCATTTCTAAGCGATCTGTTCTTTCCCAGGCATTAAGGCACTGAGATGCATTCACACTGTCTCCGCACGGTCAAGCGCAAATCCTTTCTCCTGGTGCACGTGGCCCTTCATTCCCTGGCTCCAACTACACCTTCCATCTCATTGCTGCCACGTAGCTTGCGGGGCCAAACTCATGAGCTAAGCTCCTCTGGGTACCTCGCACGGCAAACTGAAGTTCCCACGAGCCACACACTTTTGCACCAGACATGGCTTTATCCAGACCACCTCGTTTCTGCCACTCTCCTCGCCCAGCCTGGCAGACCTCTGTTCAGCCTTTGAGTCTCTTCAGACCCCAGCCTTTAAACCCAAAATTGGAACAGCACAGTCCTGGATATACAAATGCCACACCAATATAAGGAGGGCACAAAATGACTGCCTTTCTCAACAACGAAAAATCCACATGCCTCACAAATGGACTAAAAGTCGAATGGCAAACCTTTAGTTAGCCTATGTTGAGTGTCACATTAGGAAGAGGGCTCAGAAAATGATAAAATCTAACTAAAAAGACCAAAAAGTGCCCTTTTATGATAGGCCAGATTGCATACAATTAAAGCATATGTAATATTTTCAGGCATATCACTAAAAGTACTCCAAATTGGCCATTATGTTGATATTATAAATCTTAAACTTCTTCAGTGTCTATAATGGTGAAATTCCAGGGTTCTGTGGTCATTTATTTGTTTAGAAAAACATGTGTTTTTCAGGAAACAGTAGACAAAAAGGGAACAGAGTCTCCATTGCACAGCCGAATGAATAAAGGGCTCTTTTGTAGACAAATTCTAGAACTTGTTAATTATACACAAGCTTATTATCTGTATCCCCAGCGTTATAAAGCGCCAGAACTTCATTAGAAAAATGAAGCTGGAAAAATGAAGGCAGCACTTTGTAAATTTCCACTGGAAATTAGCTAGGAAAGGCAGAGGAAGGGTGGATCAAAAGGGGGTAATCACGCTTAACCGTGCCCTGGAGCACCACATGTATAATACGATTTGCAAGCAGCAACTACCTCGCCCATCACTGCTTGTTTGGAGGACTCTGTGTTAATGGGGTTAGCTAATCTAGTATTTTAACTTAAAAAGGCTCTGCTGATTAATAAATGTTGCACACTGTGCTGGTAATTAAAATAAATGGAAGAGTTACAAATAAAAGTTGAATTGCTAAGAAAACACTCGCTGCAAATATATGATAATCCCTATTTATCATAATACAGTAACAGTTCAGAACATATGCAAATTGCAAAGGTCTGAAGTGTTTAAAAAAATCACAAAAGTCAAAAAAAGTTTTGAGATTGGTTAAATTTCCCCATCACTATTCTGTAGTGATAAGCAGAACCAGATTTCATCTCTGTACCCCACATTCTTCCAAATGCCCTTTAAAAAAAGCTGTTATTGAGGATCTTGCTTAACTTTTCCTACAGTACTGTCCATGAAATGATCCTTAATTAGAAAATATTTAAAAGGCTTAAAAATGAGTCATCTACTATTTACCAAGGCTTCTAAGCGTGATGGCAAATTTGAGGGAAATGAAGGCAGATACGTAAGAATCATTGCTATTGAATGTTTCTCATGCACACGATCAAACGGGGGAGCTGAAAATCTTTGAGTTTCTATTACTGCTTTGCCACTAAACATTTATAGGAGCCTCAGCAAAGCAGAACTGGGGGTCTCCTGCCTCATGATGGCTCAAGCTTTCACAATAAGTATGTGTGGCTTTTCCCGTTTTTCAAAGAGTTTAAACAAGCGGTACGCTTTCGTTTGCTGAAGTGGATTTGGGCAGATTGAGCCAAGCAGGGAGGTGGGAAATTCCTTCATGGATGCAGAGGGACCATGGGCTCTAAGGGGGACAACAGCGCCGCGCCTCTGGAGCGCGGATCCCCAAGAACGTGGCATGAGATCAGCGAGAGAAAGACGCCTGCATCACCCCCTGGGAGGCTTGTGTCTTGCAACCAGAATTCAGGCTTATCCCAGAGTTGACGCAAAGCCATTAAAGAGCATTTGGCCGAATAACTGCTTCACTTTCTCGGTGTTGCTGTGGCAAAGGGCTAAATGGGAGGAAGATGGTCAAAGCCACTGGGCTTTTGCAGCAATTAAAGGCAGAGATTCTAAGGGCCTCAGTAAGAACAGTGGTAGACAGAGAAATGGGAGCTGAGCCAGGGAGACACTTAAAAGGCAGCAAGGCCAGATCTGAGGACCAGCACAACGCTGGAGAAAGGAGGACAGGAGAGCTCACAGAGGGTGAGTTCTGGGCAGATTGCTGGACCTGCAATTCACACGCAAGAGAAGAAGAATAGGTCAGTGTGGGACATTCTGAATTTGGGACATACAACGGAGATGCAAACCAAGGTGACCGTTGGAAATATAAATCTGGGATGTCGGAGTATGATCTTAGAGACTGAGAGAGTGGGAACCATTGGCATAGAGGCGGTGGCTGAAGTCTTTTCAACAGAAGAGACAAAAGAGATTGTGGAAAGAAATAAGAAATGACAGAAGGAGGAAGTCGAGAAAAAGAGTGGATAGTGAGTCCTGCCATCGTCTCGGTTCTGTCCCACTGCCTTTCACTGAAATCGCTGCAATAGTCTCCGAATGGGTTCCCGTTCCTCCAGCATGCTTCTTCTGAAATGCATCTGTCTCGCAATCAACAAATTCATTTTTTTATAACATTCTCCTACTCAAGAGCCTTAAATAATTCTCCATTGTCTGCCAATAAACACTCTAATCCTTGGCCTTGAAGCCTTGCACACGTTTTTCTTTCTACTGCTTCTCATATAAGAATTAGTTTCTGCCAAGTTGGTCGTCTCAATGTTCTGTGAACTTTTCCTGCCATCATTTCTTTTTTCATTTCCAGAAGATCAACTTGTTTTTACCTTTTCCTTTCCCTATCAAAACCTGGATCATCAGAGACCAGAGCGAACTCTACTTAAAAAAAAAAAAAAAGTCTAGAAGTACAGAAGATCCATGAGAACGGAGAGTCTCATTTCCTCAGTGCCAACTCCCTAGGGCCTGGAACTATTCCTGACATGGAACATTTGCTGAATCAATAAATGCCAGAGCTCCTCACATAAAAATTACTTGGCATTTATTTACTAATTGCTTATGTAATATCCTGGCTTTATAAAGATATACATATGGTGAGGGAATCATTTCCTTCAAGAAGGCATGAGGAAGTGGGATGAGCTTTTTTAGAATCAAGAACAAACTATCAAAGCTGTGAAGTGACTTCTGAAAAAACCCACTGTAAAATACATTCTCTGTGTAAAATAGTATTTATTGCCTCACTTCCTACGCTTATGTTAAAGAACATGTTAAAGACTGTGACCTTATTTGCAAATATGGCCTTTGTACGTGTAGTAAGTTAGGATGTGGTCACACCATAGTCTGGTGGGACTCTGATCCAATTTGATTGGTGTCATACCAATGTTGTCATCAATATTGACCTGTCTAAACCATTGGCGTGTTGAGAATAATTGCTTCTGAATAGGTCAAGGGTGACTTTACTTTTTCTCACAAATAAAAGACTTTTGACAATATTAGAAATAGAAAACGTTAGTTAACTTCAGGCCCCAAACACGACACAGCTATGTTGTAAACTGAGAACTCACATGTTGTCGTGAATGTTTCTTGCCTGTTCTTGTCTTCTGAATTCCTCTCTGGCCTCTTTTACCCCATTGACTGGCTCAGCCACCCGCAATGTTGGCTCCAAAGGCTTGTAGCGCTGTTCCAGTACTTCGGCGATGTCACGGAACGGTCCCTGGCAAGACAGGGCGGGGTCACTGTTCCGTTATGGAGGATTTCTTTACCATGTTATTGGTGACCAAGGCTACTGCATATCTACACAGGAGAGCAAGTTTATGAAATTATTTTTTAAGGGACAATTTGTTCTTCTCCAAATTTGAAAATATATGACATACGAATATCACATCTTCAAGAAATGTTCATGCAGTACAAGTGTTCATACAGGGTCCCGCAGAAGTGAGGCCTGCTGGAGTGTGGTTGGCAGGGTAATAATATGGGTGTAAAATTTATAGTTTTAATTTGAACATTTCACCTGAAATGTCATACGGTATGCTTCAGTGTGACATTGTTATGTTACAGAATTACATGCTTATGATTTTGTAATAAAAGATTTTGTAATGAAAAAGGGGAGCTATTTGTGCTGGACCCTGTATTAAAAATGTTTTAGATTAAGCAGAAATTTCCTCACATCGAAAGAGTTTTTATGCTTGAACTGGCAAACTTGCAGTTCTAGGTTGCTCTATACTTTGAAATTTTAAAAAGCATGTTTCTTCTAATATCATTTTAAAAGAATTCTCTCCCTTTTAAAGTAAAAATATTAGAAACAATTCTGAGTATAGTTTTCAAAGAGCATGTCTATAAATAGAAGGATAGCAAGTGTGTTTTCATTAAAATAAGCCTTTTAGGTGAATGCCAAATCTTCTATTTAATTGTTGGTCCCCCCAAACACAGAAGGGCTGTTTTTTGTTGTGTTCTTTATTTAAAATTCTAAATTTTATTGCTTAATAACTTTGATAATATAGCAACCATTTAATCACACAAAAAAATAGCAAAATCTAAAGCCACAACTGTGAAAAGGGATTTACAACATAGCCTACCTTTAAATTAGTAGGTACTTACACTAGGTACTAGAACCCACTGGTTAGTGAATTCATTAGTATCATATAAAGCACAGTACAAATCAGGGGTGGCTCGAGGTTCCACTGTGCCATCGATTACATATTGTTTTCTTTTTTCACCACTATTGTGCAGGAGAGAAGTGATATAAAATGAACAAAGATTTCTAATCATACTCCTTATCCTTCTTTAGATAGGTTATCACTAACAAGACACAGCTGGAGTTACTGCCAACCCTGAGTGAAGACTGTGGGCTAATAAAAGGAAAGGATTCACGCCTCATTTATGTTCACTTATGTTTTACATTAATAGAAACCAATAATAGGAACCAGTTACCATAAAAGTCATGGACCGTAAATAACACAAATGGCAAATAAGTATCATCTAGTACTTTTCACAGCTGGACAGGAGGATTGCTATATTTGAAAGGAGTTAATGAATTTTTATTGGAACTTTGCTTTTAAAGATACAGTAACATGATTCCAAGTTCACTATTAAGATGTATATGTATACGTGTGTGTGTGTATGTGTGTATGTGTGTCCCTGACTAAGCTATAGATATCTTACTTGACATATTCTGTAACATCATATATACACCACTGTAATATAATAACAAATATATATGGTCTCTGTCCTGGTTTCAAACTCAGAAACATTTATATATCCACATCTTATTAATATCAGATAATTTTCCTATTTCCTAAGAGGTTGCATGAAGAACTACTCTATGAATTCCATGTAGTACCAGTACCTATCCCAGTGAATACAGTATAAAATATGGATTATTAAATATTAAAATACACAATGTTATCTCTGATACCTTAGCAACCATTGAACACTTAATGCAAATGCAATGGAGATACTAGAATTATTTTCTTTGTAGAATAACTAATAAATGAATTGCTCACTCAATGGTGTTATAGACAACCATTGCTTGCCTTAATAGGAATACGTACAACTGAAACGGTAAAAATTCAGTTACTCATACAATTCATTTTATACCTGTCTATAAATATATTCAATGCATTCATTATAACATTAGTATAACCCATATTTTGAAAAGAATGAAAGAACCACACTCTGAGAACATGTCCTGAAATACATATTTCCCATGATGTCTCTGCTCCTTGCTCAAGTCTGCCCTGCCTGCCACCGTATTTCAGAAATAAGAAGAATTTTTAGCATATGTGGATTTTTAGATAAAGAGATTAGTGTAAAGGTATTTAAGAATATTGATATAAATAGATTTCCTTATAAAATGAAGCAAGGATGAAGAAAAAGAGAAAGTGGCCCAGGGAAAATCACCTTCATAGATTTTCACTTATTTCTTATAGCTCTTTCTATAATATAGTATAAATGATCAGTTAATAGTATTAATTATCTATTGGTAGTTTTTAGAGACCCAAAATACACAAGTAAAAGAAATCAAGGACCCAATAATGGAGAATGTAAACACAAAACATCACCGATAATTACAGGCAGCAATGATTATTTTTTATGGCATAGAATGCAGGTGGTCTCACTGCAATGTGGATGGAATGGCGGGCTGTGAAAGGCACCACACTCCTGGGCATTCACACCCCCACATGGACTGCATTGGTCACTCCTAACGGAGAGAATGTGGGAGAAGCAATGGGATGCCACTTGTGGCATCAGGTCATAAAAGGGCTGTGGCTTCGGTTCCGACAGCTCTCTCTCTGCCCTGCAGAGAGGCCCACAGGAGAAGGGACTGCGACATGAAGACAAGCAATCATACAAATGACCTTGGATGGGGATCCCCCATCCCCCTCTTTCATGTGACATCACAGCCCTGTCTGTCACCTTGACTGCAACTCCCTGAGAGACCCCGAGTCAGAGGCGGTCACCCACGCTGTATCCACCATGCAGATCCGCGGAAACCGAGAGGTAAGAAATGTGTGTTGGCTACCCCATCAGGTTTCGGAGGCATTTGTTATACAGAGAAAGGTAAACGGAGGCAAGCCCGGCAGAGGACTGACAGGTAGGAGCTCCGGGAGCTCGGCAGCGCGAGCCAAGGTAAATCCCATTCTGGGCTGGCGCTACCCATGGGCACTTGTCTATGCCAGTTTAAATGTTGGCAGGGATGACAGAGCTATTGCTGCCTGTGACTTTCAGGACAGTACAACTGTCACCCAGTACATCGCTTTCCACCCATTAGCGCTAGGAAGTCCTTTGCTGATCCTGCTCTGTCCCCATCCACAGGGAAGACCGTGTGTCTGTGTCCACTTGAATCTTGCATTGTTTCTGGCCCTCCCTAGTTCTCCAACTTCTACCATAAAAATTACTCAAACCTAAATTATGTTTACAATTGTATAGAAAGAGATAGGTCATCAGACGACAGGCTAAAGGAAATAACATAGTAATAAGATCTTCCTAGCAATGGCGGGTTATAATAAGTACTGCTATGACAATATTTTTACATAAAAGAGCTAGATCCTAGCCCCAAAGTCTGCATGTTAACTTCCTACTCAAAACATGAAAGTTCAATACCAAAGAAACATTCGATTACTTCCTTGGTCTATACTTTAATCGTACTTTATATATGTTACTTAACGTTAGATCCTACAACAAAACAATTTTCTTTTTTGGCCACAAAGACAAAACAACAATAACTTGAAAGAACCAGAAAGAACCTCACGGAGAGGATTCTCATAAAGGGCCAGGGCGTACCTGGCACCGCTTTCTGTCAATGGGCGGCAGGCTTCCGGAGCGAGGGAAGGACCGGGTGCTCGTGCACGCCAGCCAGCTGCTCAGGCTGGCGGGGCGCCGCGGCTGCACTTCCAGTCTCCGATGCGCCAAAGGCTTTGCCTTCTGCAGCCGCAGTTCCCAGGGGTCTGGGTCCTTCCTAAACGGTGAATTGTATATACCTGGAATCTACAGAAAACAGAACCTTGATTCGTCTCTACTCCAGGTCAGCCATTTCAGAATCATTCATGGTTGAAGACAAAAAACATGCTAAAAACCACTGAGCTCTAGATTCTATCTGACACACAGGGTATATTTTATATAATTGTATTTATGAAAAAACCAGAAGGCTGTAACGTCTTTCTTTTTGTGTTCTAACCATTAATTATGGGTATGTATATGTACCCATATCTCTAAGTCATGCATTCACTCATACAAACCCAAAAACACGATGCTTGAACCGGTTTCAGGTGCAAAGCAGGTAGTCAATAACCATTTTGATTTTTTGAGTGATTACTCACTATCTAACATTACATAATGGCAGTTACTTGAAGTTCTTTAAAATAACAATCAAAGTGGATGTATATATGTCCGTGTGTGTATACGTATGTTCATTCAAAATAGCGTCCTGTATTTGGGACTCATGTGGTTCAGTGCTGTATTTCTGCGGTGTCACATTACCCTTGCTGTTTATCATTGACCTTGTCACACTGCATCAAAATAGTCAAGACTTACTTAGCATAGCACCTGCTATGCAATAGAGGTTCAACAGATGTATGAATGACAAATAAATTCAAGTTGAGCAGATGTCCATTTTCTGAAAATTCAACGGTATTTGAGTATAGAACTGTACTTTGAAACTCTTCTCATATACACGAGTGCATATTCATAAGGAAAAGTTACATTTTAGAGGACAGTATGACTTGTTTGGTTGCTTTGTAGGCACTCTAATGTAAACAATGTACCCACTGAACCTATCTGTTTTTCTTGAAAATGTGCTTTTCTCTTATGCTGCCCCCATATCCATAAATATTTCTGCTTGCTATATTTTCCTCATGGAATCAGGGTTTCAAAATATTAAGGTTAACTAGGATAGCTGTCTTTGAAAAGCTATCCTAGAAAATTTTCTATTTCCAGCCTAACTCTTAAATAAGTTCTAACCTCTCTCTAATACTGGCAGCTCAGGCTAGATTCAATGTCCTGTCCCACAATTATTTTTGTGTGTGTCTGCCTTCCCCAGACAAGCAGCTGGAGTACTGGGATTCTGTGTTGGGCGGTTTTGCATCCCCAGTGCATAGCAGACACTAAAAATGATGCTAAATGCTGATCTGGATTAACAGAGTACCGTTCAGAAAGGCTCATGCAGCCTCGATTTCACTGTTGTTTTCCAAAGCCACGTAGTCTTAGTAAAAAGCTTGAAGTTTATTTCAAAACCCTCTTGGCTTCTTTCAAATAAGTAATAAATTATACTCTTTTTTTCTTTCTTAACATGTCAATTTTAATTCACTTTCGAGCACATTGTGATGTAGAACTAACTTGTCACAGACACATTTGAGTCACCTTCAAGTCAGCTTCTCCTATGTTGTAATGTCATGTTAACGTTCTCTCTCTGGAACACTGGCTATAGGCCAAGGTGGACATACAAACAGACAGTTAAAGGATCTTGATAAAATAAATGAATAAACAAATAAATAAATAAAATTTTTAATTAATTAATTTATTTATATACACATATATATTCAAAAATAGCTTTCAGTGGACAGTAACTTTTAAGTGGATGGCAATTTCCAAGGTGATTTCTAGGGTGATTTTCTATGATGAGACTGTATCAATTGTAATGAAGAAAAACAGCAAATATTACATTGAGAGATTATTCTGACATAAAATATAATTAAACCTATGTAAGTTTATTATGGAGACATAAGAAAATGCCATTCTGTTTAGTGACAATGTAACTGAAAGAACTCTGTTGGTGTATTTCCACAAACTTACAGATTAAAACAGTAAAATACATAGTTTAACTAGATTATAATACATGCTTTAAAATCTCTCTCTACCTGAGTAACTGCTACCAGCTATTAACTTTACCCCCATTAGAAATCTTCTTTGATCCCCTTCCACATCTGCATGCACGTGTATACGAGGCTAGATGGGAAATGCAAATAGATCCACAGGCATGATAGCTTCCTCAAATTATATTTTGCAACCTATATGGAGACCTCCTCATGTGTATTCTCTTTGCAATTTAAATCAAATATAGACAGAAAATATATTTTAATTGAATTTAAAATGTATCATTTAAAATCTCCAAGGTGTCAATATTTAAGAAATTAATTGAATGCATTTGCTAATAACATCAATGAACACAGCCCAGCCCTCCCACGATCCCTACAGCAAGCAAATACCCTATTTATTTAGATTGAGACAGTATCCGCTTAATTATTATTCTTTAAGTAAGACAACCTTAACTTACTATTATCTCAGTTGCTATATTTCATAATTTGTAAGCCAGTTGTGAAAAACGGCTTGTTGTTGATTTTTAAAAATATTACTATGAGTCACAAAAGACCACGTTAATCCTAAGGGACTGTGACATATTTTTCAGTTTTCACATTTTTCACAGCTTAGAAGTGCTGCTGCCAAGCTCGCTTGTGGGACTTCATTCTTTGCCACAATTTTCTAGAGTGACCAACACTATGGGGAAATCTGTGCTAACTGTTTAAAAAAAAAAAGCCTACAACTGAGTTATTTGCAGTACTGTCATGCTAACATTCAACTCAATAAGACCCAGGAAATCTCGGGAGAGGACTTTGCTAATAGCTTCTTACTGACCTCCCTGCATCAAGCCCGGCTGCTGACTGGCGGCCCAGCGGTGAGTACGGCAAATGAGGTGTGAAAGCACTGATTTTTTTTAAAGGCTATGATTCTGACTCGTCAAAAGGGGGAAAAAAAGGCAATGAGTTATATAATAGATATATATTTTTCTTGAATTCCCCCCTTCAGACCCTCCATCATGGGAACTTAAGCATGACCTAGAATATTAATTACGTCAGGTTGAGCCGCGAGCACATGTGCCATTTGTCACCCAGTCACCCTTAGCGTTACATTAATATTTTGAACTATTCCGTATTTCTAACAATCTATCAGCTGGCTCTCTTCTTTCCAGCTTTTACTCTTATCCTTCAGTATTATATGGGAAAGTACTTTGAAAAAGCAACTGATATGAAAACAAATGGATGTACATTTTGTATTTGGAGCATCTACAGCTTTATTTCACATAGAATGTTTTTATGGTCATTTTCCTCTCTTACACTGACCTTTATTTTGTAATTGCCTGAGGGAAGCCATGCCTAATTTTTTTTCCCTTTCTCTTTGTTATTGAGGTTTACTTTTAAAACAAGTTTCCGTGAAATAAAAAAATCCTGAAACAGGATTGTGTACGCCTATAATTCCCAAAGCACATTTATTAGTGTTTCAATGTCATATTTTACCATATGAGAAATACTAGTTTCTCCTGATTTTATAGTCACTGCTCATTCTGGGAGAAAGCAACTTTTACTTCTGCAAATGGCAATTACACAGCAAACAGGAGTCACTGATTGCATAACAAATGGAACAAAATTAAATGATTGTGTTGCTCCACGATTCACAGGTTGTGAGTAGAGAAGCAGTTCTAAAAAGCAGCGAGCTCTACGTATGTTTGGGTCCTAAGTTTTCATTAAACGGTGCTTTAAAGAAACGAGACAGTAAGCAAGCCCAGATGATAGTAAAGGTCCCTAATAACCAACCGGGAAAGGTAAAGTGGGCCAGAGGAGTATGAATGGAGTATTTGCCGGGGTGGGGGCTGCTGAGTCCATGCTGACCAGTGCACTTCATCACCATGATCAGGACGCAGCAGTGCCAGGGGATTTATAAAAACCCCACTCAGCGAATAATTGTCCTGCTGTTAGGGGACAGTCAGAGAGTTAACACACTGTCACAGTCCAGCGTTTAGTAAGATATTCTACATTCAATTACTCTTGCTGAGGACTGCAAGGAAACACAGCCATTTCTCAGTCACAGCAGTTACGCCTGCACACGCGTTTCAGACAATAGTCATGTAAACCCTCAGCTGCGGCTCGCGGGGAGCAACACGGACTCAGGGGAACGGTAGGGACTCACGGGACGGTATTTGGAACGAAACAGGTCTATGTCAAGCAAGAATCAAAATAAAAACAAAAACAAAACCAAAAATGATTACTGGCCACAAATGCTTTTTCTTTTATTTCAGTTAAGAAATCAGATTTTTAGGTGGTTAGGGTCAAATTCTAGAGGGGCCGCATTGTATGTAGACCCCAGACGTAGCTGGCTTCTTTAGGTGAATAAGTGATTTTTTATAACTCCTTTTGATAGCTTAACCATTACTATCATCTATTAAAGTATTCCCATGAGATGTCGATTGAAATGGAGGAATTTAGGTAAGATACCATCCTCCATATCCTAATTCAATCCAATACTATTGAGCATCTACTACCTTGGAAAGGCTTTGCTTGCTCTGAGATGGGTGCAGAGGTGAACGAAGAGGGGTCAGCCCATCACGCCCTTCTCAGCGGTGGGTGAGGGTGGCATGAAGAGGATGACTTTGTGACCAACAACGGCATAACCAGCCCCTCGCAAGTGTCTCCTAACAACTGTTGCAAAGAGGTAGACACCAGAGGCTGTGGGAAAAGTATCCTTTAGAAAACTCCGGGAGAAGTATCTGAATTTGCACTAAAGATAGGTAGAACGTTGACCATAAAAAAAAAAAAGGAGAAGGGCATTCCAGGTAAAGGGAAGGACAAGATTAAAGACATATAAATGGGAAAGCCTAGGGCTGCTGTTCAGGGAACATCAGGTTGACCAGTTTAAGCCTGAGGCTAAAAAAGCCAGATGAGCTTGTAGAGATAAATTGGGGCCAAACCTTGGAAGGCGGCAGGATTGCATTTAATCAGGAGGTGAACTCAGGAGGAAGTCCGAGGCTGGCCCTGCTATTGCACGAGGCCTACAGAAAGAGACTCTGTAGAAACACAGGTGAAAACCACAGCTTGAAGAGGCAGGACAGGCATCAGAATCAGACTCAGGTATGGCGGGGGTGTGGGAATTAGCAGACTGGGAATTTAAATCAACTATGATTAACAGGCTAAGGGGTCTAATGGACGAAGTAGATAGCA